CCCACCCTGTGTGCCGGGAAGGACGGGCAGGAGTAGAGCAGGTATAAACAGTTGGGCAATGCTTCCTCTTGGGTGGCCACTCGCAATCCCGCAGTAATATTTAGCAAACACCTATGTCTTTGTTCCCCACCCTCCTGACGCACCGTTGGCTGCAGGCACCCCGGGTGCGTGGGGTGCCACCTGCCCTTTCGCCCTTGCTGCTGCGGTGACGCGAAGGTGAACAAAGGGTGCGGTAACGCCAGGAGGGGTGTCACAGGGTGCATGAGGCACGCCAGGTAGAGCCATTTCTTGCACCACACTGGGTTGAACTAGCAAAGCGCTCCCTGGGTGGTCAGGGAGCGCAGGGAACATCATTCCCACAGCTCCCATGCTCTACCCCCCTCACGTGCCAGCTTTGCCCCATTTTTGGGCTTGTCAACCCAAATAAATTTGCTGAAGAGCAGCTCTGCCAGTGGATCTGTGCTCCCAAGCCTCCTGGGGCCACACTGGCCACACGCGGCATCCAGCCCAGCTTTCCCAAAACAGGGAGGGACTCTCAGCATCCCCATAGTATTGGATCCGCTGATGCTTGAGTGGGAACCCAGCTGCCCTGGGAAAGCAGACCGCTGCACCCCGAGCAGCCGAAGGGCAGGCAGAGGTCGCAGCTCCCACCAGCGCTGCCATCTCTGCGTGCTACAAACAGGCTGCAGAAAGCCACTGCCGTGGTGACAAACCAGGCTTAGCTCCATCAATATGACTTGAAATGAACGCTTATTATTCAGAGAGCAAGTTTGGGGACAGCATGCAAAACCACTTGCACCGCTGTGGCTGTTGATACCCCCCCCAGCGAGGAGAGAAAAGGTTGCCCAAAGCCATCACCTCAGGCGGCCCTTGGGAAGCCACAGACATCACCAGCGTTTTGGCTCAGCTGAGTCCTCCTCCCTCTGCCCCTGCCAGAGCTGGAAGCTGGTCCTTGTGCAGGAGATGGGGAACAGCATGGTCTGTCCCCCACCATCACCCCTCTCCCAACCTGGAGACATGAAAGCTGTCTGCTGCCAGAGTCTCCGGATGTAATTTTAATTCCACGGTGGCTTTGATAAGTGGGAAAAAGACTTTGTGGTCATCTTTGCCTTGTACAGCCTACCTGGGGTGATCGTATCCTTTACCTGCCTAAATGCTGATCCTGTTCAAGCAGCAAAGCTGATCTTTTCCTTTCCTAAGTACATTACTTAGCCCAGATCCTCCCCAGCCCAGCATTCACACCTATCCGCGCCCAACCAAATGGCAGCAGTGAGGCGGAGGCTTGTCCCCTGTGCTGCAGAAATTTGGGAGGTGGCGGTGGTCCCCTTGGGTTTTGCGGGATGGCAGCGTCCAGTGCAGCAGGGTGGGCGCAAGGGGCACAGCATGGCAGGGAGGATGGGCAGGAGTCTTAGAGCTCCTCTACGCTGCAGGCACTGTGCTTTTGGGGGTGGGGGGCAGCCCCAGCCCCTTTCTTCCAGGATGAGACACTTGCATCCCCTCCATGAAACAAGTCCATGCCAAGTGGCCATTCTCTCCGGGAAATCAATTTTCAGGCTCAAAAAGGCGGTCGCTATCTTCGAGCAGTGCGTCTGGCCCCTCATGGAGCCCGTAATAGAGGTCATCCTCCTCCCCAGCACCTTTGTGGGGAGAACCAGGGTGCTCTCCCCCCACCGGGGACCTGGTTGGGGTGCAGCCGGAGTGGGCGGCGGGTGGCAAGGGCCGGCCCCGTGGCGCAGGGCTGCCAGGCACGGAGCCCTCCAGTGATGGCGTGTCCATGTCCTCCAGGAGGGATGCCAGCGGCGCGTCCCCCAGGGCCGGCCGGAGGGGGCTGTGGGAACAGGGAGGGCTCAGAGGCAGCAAGGGGTCTACAGTAAATACAGCTGGCCTGGAGCTGGGGTTTCCCTCCCAGCTGGTGTCTGCTGGCCCCGATGCTGGGGTTGGCATTGCTCAGCCAGCAACGTGGCATCACCAGTTCCCTTGCTGGGTAGCTGGGGCACCCCAGGAGAGCCCTATCTCAGCCCCCCGTGCCTGCCTGTATGGGGACAACCTGCCTGCCAGGTTCCTTCTCCTGCCCATGGGATGAAGTAGTGGCTGCCCTCGCATGCTGTGCCTGTGTCCTGGGGAGAAAGCAGAGCACCCCATCACAGCTGTAGCTGCGTTTTGGCAGAGGGGGTGCCAGAGTCCTACGCCCCAAGGCTGCACGGTGACCCCCATCACCTGCAAAGCACTTTTGGGACCTCCGAAACCAATGCTGAGCATCATATGTGGCATCTGGTTTGAGGGACACGTAGCGAGCATCTTATTTCTATCAAAGTCTGACCAGGAACTTGGGATTTATTCTGGCGAGGGACATTGTTTATATTTTTAAAATGAAATAAAAGCAAAATGCAAATTACAACCAAAGACAATCCAGGTTTCCTCCTGGTAAATAATTTGGTACTGAGACTCCTCATGGGCTGAGACACAAATCGGGCTTCAGTGGGGCTGGGGGTCTGGGCACTCAGTGCTGTGCGAGCAGCAAAAACCCCTCTGCCTCCTCTTCCTCCCCCCACACCAGGGGTTTGACTCCCTCCAGCTTCACCCTGCATCCCACCGATGCCACCCCTACCCTGCAGGCATCACGTACCAGCAGTCTGCTGCCATTTCCAGCCGAGGTGCCGGCTCTCGGGGAGGATCTCCAGAACCCCCCAGCTCCCAGTGGACCTCTGCTTTTGCCTGCATGGCTGGCTGGGAGCAGCTGCGGACTCTGGGCTGGACTGTGGGCGGGAGCGGGGCTGAGCCCACCACCTGCATCTGGATCTGCTTGTAGGACAGCAGGCTTTTCTCGTAGGTGCCGATGGCTTCTTGGTTAGGGCAGGGTGCCTGCAAGCTGGGGGTGAAGGAGGAACAGGGTGCTGAGCAGGATCCGGACCCCCATGGAGCCAGGAGATGCTCAGGGACATGCACACAGGACTCCATCAGGTGCTTTAGAGGCCACTGAGGCCAACTCACTGCCCAGGCCAGCAGCGAGTCCTTGCAGGAGGATGCCTGCAGGAACACAGCCAGATGCTTTGCACCCTCCAGCATCGCTCTGGCTCCAGCCCCAGGGGGGCTCAGCCAGCCCTTGCCTCCCCCACCCCAGCCCCTGCTTGTCATTTTTTGCTGCAACAGGTGTAGTTGTCCCCAGTGCCAGTGTGCTCGAACACTGCCCTTGTCCCCAGGGGCATGCAGATAACCACGTGTACACATGAAAACACCTGCCGAAAGGGGGACCAGACACTGGGACCTACCGGGTGTCCCTCTCCAGCAGCACGATGGGCTTGTGGTCCAGGAACCGCTCAGCCTCGAGGTCCACGGGGATGAATGTTATCTGGGGGGAAAAGAAAGCAGAGCCCGAGGGGCTGCATCTGGCATCACAGGGACCCTCGTCCCTCATTAGCGGTAAAATGGCTGGGATGTCCCATCAGCTGGGGCTTTGGTCTTTTCCAGGCACATGTGGATGACTTGCTTGGAAATGGGTTTTTTAGGGGGGGAAATCAATAAGAGATTGAATGAACCCAGCATGCCTGGCTCTCAGCGCCTTGTCCCCAGTGGGGTCATGTGTGTCCCCAAGCCCAGGAGTGTTCTCAGGGCCCACAGGCGAGGTCGGTGGCCAGGGACAACACTGAGGGTGCCCCGTCTTTGAACCCTGAGCATGGCAACAAGGGCACATCTCCCTCCTAGCTAAGGCTGAGCTCAGCTTTGGGGGGAGCTGGGGTCAGATTCACCCTGGTCCCAGGGGACCCACCTGGTCCGGGGGATCCCAGCTGGTCGCAGGCCCTGGTGTCCCATGTACCACCTCACATTTTGGGGCACAGCCAAGCTGTTGATGAGTCCTCCAGCAGCGCCCAGATCAGCGCCGCAGCTGCCCTCTCCTTGGAAAGAACCCTTTTCTGCCAGCTCCGTTTCCCGGGGCAGGGACGCGTGGCTGCCCTGCCACTCTGCCAAGGAGACGGGCAGGAGAAGGCTATGCTCGGTGTGGCTGAGCCCCTCCGGACCTCCACAGCCACAACAGCCCCTTCTTTGAAGTCCTGGGAGCCCACTGAGCCCCTGACTCCCACACGTGCAGGGAAGGGGCTGGTTTGGGGGGTGGGTTTGCATGGAAGAGACGAATACTAGCTGATTTCCTTGGGCTTTTCCCCGCTGTCTGCTTGGAAGCAAAGCCCCAGGCTCAGGGAGGTGCAAGGTATAGGGGGCAGACAGCAGCGGGGAGATGTAGCAGCACAAGAGCCTCCCGAAACAACACTTCCCCTTCTGGATTACCCCAGCCAGCTTTCCCCTGGGATCTGCTGCTACCCCACCCCACAGATGGGGAAACCGAGGCACAGCCCGAGGCTACACATCCACAGCAGCCGAAGCCCCCCAAACCCGGCCGAACTCTTGAGCCCGCCGAGGCGCACAGCGAAGGGACAGACCCTACCTTTGGGTAGCACTGGCACATGCTCCAGATGGTGCCCACGGCTATGAGCAGGATGCCCAGGGCGCAGAAGGTGATGTAGATCTGGGGCTTTTCCACGCTCATGATGAACATCCCCGTCATCACCAGGAAGAAACCCAGTACGATGAACCCATAACGAAAGGTCTTCTCCTCGGCCATGGGCAGGGTGGGAGAGGCAGGGGAGGAGAGAAGTCCTTTTACCTGCGGCTGCTGCCTGCTGAGCACACCTCCGGGGGAAGGTAAGGAGTGGTTTCTTTCTCTGGAGGCTGCCAGGGGCTGAGGATCAGCTGCACATTGAGCCTGGTCCTGCCCAGGGCTGAGCCAGCCAGTTTTTAACGCTTTTGTAATGAATGCAAACACCGACCCGCCGTTCACACTCCAGTGAAGCCGCCCGGCACGTGTCCAGGTAACCTTCCCTGCAGGCACACACGGCCAGACCCCACACCTGGGGAAGGGACGAGGTGGGCACGGTGGCAGAGACGGGGACTTGGAGAGTGGCTAGTCCCAGTGGGACTTTCCCAGCCCGGGGGGCTGGAGCTGAACTTGGCTGTAAATTGGAGCTGGCAGAGCCCCAACATAAGGGTGACACCAGGGTGTAGCATGTTTTCAAGGGCTGCAGGTCTGCAGCAGGGGAGGACGGAGTGCTCTGGGGTCTTTCTGGAGGCTGGTGGGTTGGGAATAGCCTCCACTTCGTTCTGGCTGGGTGCTGGGAAAGAACCAGTGGGGCTGCGAAGGGGGGAGCTAAAGCTGGGGAAGGCTGAAGCTAGGTTGGTCCACCCAAGGAGAGTGAGAACAGAGCGTCTGTATGCCCTGTGTTCGCTGGAGATGGAGCTGGGGTGTTAAAAGGTGTCCCCTTCCCACTGCACATCCGACAGCCAGACAGTAGCCGTGGCTTTAATCAGCCTTCATTTTGTTCCCTCGCTTGCTTGCCCATGTGGGAGCACATATACGCGGCTTATGAAAAATAACGTGTTATAGTATAAACAAGATGTTATATCTGACTGTGGCTCTGCAGCCACTCTGCAGCCTTGCAGGTCTGCAGGGTGCCCAGGGCAGCCCGTTACTTCGGTGGGACAGAGCAACCAGCAGCAGCCCCCAACGCAGTTGGCCTTTCCTCTGGGCAAGGCTGCAAACCCGTCCGTGGTGGGCAGGGAGGGGGTTGTGCTGCTCAGGGTGTCTTTTTATAGGATACTGCCTGAAATGCCAAGTGCACTTGGATGCCCTGAACACAGGCACGAGCCACTGAACATCTCTAAACCAAATGAAGTGAGGCATGGGAAGTCAGTATGCGGGGAAGGTGGAAGGGATGGAGATAGGCTGGAAGGGGCATTGGAAAGGCACAGGAGTGACTGTGGCAGCATGGACCTTATATGAGCTGATATGAGCTCCCCAGGGTGGGTCAGAGCAGGGGATGCAAAGCATCTGCAACCAGCAGTGGTTTTATTAAAAAGATGAAGGCTTTCAAACATGCCAGTTACCCCCAGCGCTCCAAATACATCGCCCATAGGACCCACAATCCCGACAGCGCTGGACTGATTGCTTGGAAAGCCAGATGGACCCTTTTCCCTCCACACCCACCCTCCTCTCACCCCAGCAAAAGCAGGGGCTCGGTTTAAAGCTGAGGGGCTGGGCAGCCACCTGCAGAGTCCCGGCCCCGTGCTGCCACCAGCTCAGATGCCCCGGACACTGATGTTTTCGTAGCTGGGGGGAGGCGTTGCACGTGGTTCCCCAGGGTGCTGGGTCTCCAGCCAGGACAGGCTGGGGCGGAACAAGGCGCTGTCGGAGGAGCTGCGCCGGCGGCCACCCTGCCAGCTCTCGTCCTCCTCCAGGTAGCGGTACAGAGGTGGCGTGAGCTCCTCCTTCCTCCCTGGGGGCTGGACATAGGCTGGGGTGCCATGGGCAGGTCTGCAGGTCAGGGCTTCTTCGTAGGTGGGGATGGCACTGGCATCCCAGGTGCTGCGAGGGAAGAAGAAACCCGGCAGTGCACACCATCAACTGAAGCATCCCAGCACCACATCAACGGAGCATGATTGATTGACACATGTGCCAGGGGCAGCACAGGTTTTGCATGCCCAGGGTCAAGAGAAGACCACGTCAGCCACTTCCCGGCACCAGCCAAGAGCAGCCGGGCAAGAGCCAGGTGTCCCTGTTCAATGCAGTTGCACCCCACCCTCGTGCCCGCCAAAGCCCTCCATGCACCAGCCAAGCCTGGTGCCACTTCCAGCAGCGCTTTGCTGAGCAAACATGGCTTGTGTACAGGGAAAACCTCCACCCAACCTTTGCCCTGCACACGGTCCTGCTCGGCATCCTACAAAACGGGGCAGCCCCAAAGACGCGGAGACTTTGAAAGCAACCCACTGTCTGCTTGCTTTTGCAGATGAAAACCCAGCACGGCGTACTTAGGGAGGTGCAGGCACCAGCAGGGCACAGCTGGTCCAAAGGATAAGCTGCAATGCTCCGCAGGGATGCCCCCTGACCAAGTTTGGCAGCCCCCTGTCCCAGACCTACCGCCGCAGACATCCACGCTGTGGCTTTTGCCTCAGCTTGCAAAGGGATGCTGCCTTGGAAATGCGGAGAGGGAGATTTCTCCCAGCACAGGATGCTTTGCCGCCAGCTCAGCTGGGGCTGGAGGAGCTGCCGCAGTGCCAGCAGAGCCAGGGCGCTGCCTTCCCATCTGGCGTTGGAGCTGGGAGCCCAGGGAAGGGGACATTCTCTGTGGGGGGCACTGCAAAGCCCTCCATGGGAGGAGGAAACTCCCCCAGACTACCCAGACCAGCTTATGAGCCCACCCTTAGATATTCAGATGGGCTCTGAAACCCCCAGAGAACCAGGAACGTGCCTCCCGCTCCGACTGAATTTTTATGGTTTTATGTTCTTAAGAGTTTCTTTTAGTGCTGCTTTTCCCCAGAGCCCGATTTACACTGGAGCCAAGATCTTTGCTGTGACCTCATAAAACAGCACTGGGAAGGGCCGGCTGGCTTGGCTTCCACTGGTCTCTGGAAAAAAATAACCCTTTTGATCAAAAAACTTATAAATCAAGAAGTGGGAATAAATCTCAGGCTCACATAGGAAGAATCTGGGGACCGGACAAGCAGCAGTGGTGTTTGGGGTGGGGTGAGGGGTCTTTCCACAACCCAAAACGGGCTTCGTAGAGGGTTCCTTTACCTGCACTCCTATCCCAATGCCAATCCGAGGATTATTTTCCTTCTTTTTTACTTTTAACTCCCTTTTAACACAGATTTTGCTTCCATCAAAGATGGTGTAAACCCCCTCACCCTTACAGAGCATTGCAGACCTGTGGCACCAGGGAAGGTTTCAACAGCTGGAGGTCTGGATGACACCCCCCACCCCACCCCACCCCCCAAGTCCAGGCACTCTGCCAGAAAACCAATGTGGTCTTCTGCTCAGCAGCTCTGTTAAGGAGATGTCTGCCTTGGCCAGTGATGGCCCTGCAGGGCATGGAGAGCCGTCTGCGGCTGAGTCGGCCGCAGGAGCAGCCAGCGTGGGCACAGAGGGTGCCTGAGGGAGGGGACGGTGCGGGGGCTTGGGTGAAGGTTGACACTAATGAGCAAGAGCATCTGCTCGGGGAGCTGGAGGGGAGCACAGAACGGGGTCTGAGCAGTGACCAGCAGCGCAGCGGCATTATTGCTCATCTGAGCTCGCCCATGAGCAGGCCTGAGAGCAGGCTTAGGTACACGGCCGTGCTGGGACAGTCAAACCCACCCTCGTCTTCTTCCCACCCAAGTACCACTTGGGGACATGGTACCCACCTGCAGTTCCACTTCTCCAGAGGCTCAGCGGTGAAGTACTGCAGGTCCCTGGGGAAATGGTACTGGTAGCGGCGAGAGACCACCCTGGCGTTGGCTTTCACGGACCAGAGGAGCCCGAAGAGGAGGAGGATTCCACCAATGCCGCAGCAGAAGAAGCTGACGGAGCGGAGCAGGGCACTGGAAGAGGAGCTGGGAACTGCCTCGGCTTCCCGGGGAGGCAGGAGGCGAGCCCCACTGCTGGCCAGGTTGCCCACCTCCCCGTCACTCCACCAGGCAAAGCACAGCGTCCCCGTCACCAGCAGCACGGCCCCAGTGATGGTCATGCCATAGCGGAAAGAGGCAGCTGCCATCCTTCAGAAGGAGGTTTTAGGAGGGGAGAAGAGTGAGACAAGGCATGAGATAGCCCACGTCCTGCAAGACAAGAAAGGTTTGGGCAGGACAAGGTCATGGAAGAAGATATAGCAAAGGAGAAAACTACTGAGCTGGGACCTCTCTGGAGGTCGCACACTCTTCAGCTACTTATTATTGACCATCAGAAGGGGCCTTTCCACCATCTCAGATGGGAAGCCCTTGGGCAGAGCAAAGTCAGCCACCAGTTTGGATCCATAAACTTCCCAACATCCTCAGAAAAACATCCTCGTTTTCCAGAAAGAATGCAGCACTCCCATGGAGGCAGGATGGAAACCCCAGCCAGGGGAGCTACAGAGGCAGCTCTGGGGACTTGCATAGCTCTTGTCTTTGGGTTTTATTCCAGACTTCCTCCCAAGCTCAGAGGAACACCAGCTGGGTTTCTGATCAAAGCAAGGCTTATGGAAGAGGTTAGGGAGAGGGACATAAATTTAAGATGTCATCGCTTCTGAATTATCAGTGCACAGGTTTTGTCCTCTGAAACTGGAGGTAACTCAATCCTGCGGTGACAGTAGGTGTCTGGCATCACTGCTCGAAAGCCCACAGCTCAGGGGATTTGGGGCTGCACTGCCTCTTGCTTTCTCACAGAAAAGAGCCAAGTACCATCCCTGAAAGTCACAGAGCTGCTATTTCAGGGGAAAAAAACAACCCTCAGATGTTGGCAACCCAGGGGATCTCACCTAGGGGTGGCTCCTGAGACACCAAGTGAGCAGGGACCCCAGTGAGCTCTCCCATCACTGACGGAGCCTGCAATAGCTGCGCTCGTTGCCATGGCCAAGCTCAGGGCAAGGATGGGAACAGGAATCCATCCACATCTCCATTAAAAGGCAGGAATGTGCTGGATGCAAGATAAATCCTTAGAGAGGGTATGACCTACTGCTGAAGTAGGTGTTTCTGCTATGCTGGTCAGGGGGTCTGAGGCAGCAGACCACTGAGATCTATGAGGCTTTTACTGACCCAGTTATGACATCCCATTTTGAG